CAAATAAATGAATGACATGTACTACAGTAATTGATTATATTGATATTGCCTACTCAGATATAAATGTGTATAAAATGAAATCAATTCAAAGTTTCTTGCTGCTTTTAATGCAATTCATGGCTGCAGGGCAAACGTCCAAAATCCTTATTCTACAATCATTTAATCAAGACACTTGTGTATATTTTACTTTAATTTGTAATAAACAAAAAAATATGAATGGTTGTCATCAAGCTGGGTCGCCGGTAAAGCAGTCCATTCCTCCCTGTACTCATCACCACGACGCTCACACAGGTTATGCAATACGCAACATGCTGCCACCTGGATTTTGATATTGTCCATGTTGCAGTCGTTTCGCTTCATCAAGCACCGCATATCTGGAACACATACAAAGACACAAATTAGCCCTACATAACTCCATAAATCCTACATTAGATAGTATTAATGTGATTTACTGAACGTACCATTGCTGTTCTTTGGGCGTGATAACGGTCATCATCCTCAGCTGTCCTACGACGAAACATGTCCATAGCGTGTGCTTGTCGCCGTCCAGTCCTTTTGTTAAGGCTTCTTAACCGCGATCTGTATTTGTGGCTGAGTTATTGGCTTAAATAACTCAGCACCAAAACCACAACTTCAGTCAACTCCATAGCGTGTCTGACTGAGGTCGGAAGGTAAACAGAAGCATACAGCGGAAGCGGAAGTTTTTTTTCTTCTTCTCTCGGTTTTTTTGGCGGATTGCAACTTTAAGGTGCATACCGCCACCTACTGTACTCGCCGTGAAGTTGTTTGCGGCCTGCCAGGAAAAGCTAAGCAGAAGAAGAAGAAGTGACGTCAGCGGCTCATTTGCCTAATCCACCCCCAGGAACTCATTTTGGTGTGAACGCGATCTGCTTTAGTTCATCAGAACTAAAAGAACTCTCATGAACTAAAGTTCTCAGGAACTACTGTGGGAAAAGTACTTGATGTGAACGCGCCTATTGTCAGACCGCTTTTGAGGTTCTAAAAAAACATCTGGTTTCACCGCCAATCCTGGGTCACCCTGACTTTAAACTCCCCTTTATCATCTACACTGACGCCAGTGATGTTGGTTTGGGGGCAGTCTTGGCTCAACAGACTGGTCTCGGTACAGAGCAGGTCCTGGCTTTTGCCAGCCGAACTTTAAACCAGGCAGAGCGGAACTACTCGACCACAGAGCAAGAATGCCTCGCTGTCGTATGGGCCCTAGAGAAGTGGAGGTACTACTTGGAAGGCAGACACTTTACAGTCGTGACCGATCATTCCTCACTTGTCTGGGTTTTCAAAACGCAAAAACCCAGCACTCGACTTATTCGTTGGACTCTCCGTCTCCAGGAGTTCTCCTTCACTGTAGAGTACCGTAAAGGAAAATACAACACAGTTCCAGATGCGCTGTCAAGAGCTCCCGTGGATGATGCCCAGACACAACCTGCCACCTGTGCTGCTGTGCTGCGCTCCAAGAGGGACACCTATAAAAACCTCCAAATGACTGATGAGGACATCTGGAAAGCCCAGCAGGAGGATTCTGTCATCCAGACTCTGTACGATGCAATCATGGAAAAAGGAGAAGTTACTGAAAACACAACTACCACGTTTACTGTTTTGGAGGACAAGGTATACAGAGTGGTACAGTCTTACCTCACAAAACGTTATACCAGGTGTATATTCCATCTTCACTACGCCAACAACTACTCCACCATTACCATAATGATCCTGTGTCCGGCCATTTCGGAAGGTATAAAACGTATAAAAGACTTCAAGCCCTTGTGTATTGGCCTAAAATGAGCATTGATGTAAGAGAGCATGTACGTTGTTGTCAGGTTTGCCAGCTCTACAAACCTCAGACCCGAAAACCTCCAGGAAAACTTCAGCAGACTGTGGTACATGGACCTTGGGAGATGTTAGGAGTTGATCTCATGGGACCCTTCCCAAGAAGCTCTAGTGGTAACCTCTATCTCATTGTCTTTGTGGACTACTACACCAGATGGGTTGAGATGTTTCCACTTCGTAAAGCAACAGCAGAGGCAGTATCCCAGATATTAACAAAGGAGATTCTGACTCGCTGGGGCGTACCGACCTTCATCCTCTCGGACCAAGGTCCCCAGTTTGTTTCAGCTGTTTTTGGAGAAACATGCAGGCGGTGGAACCTTCAGCAGAAACGGACCTCACCGTACCACCCTCAAACAAATCTGACTGAAAGAGTTAACCGGAATGTGAAAGCTATGATAGCTTCCTATGTGGAAGAAAAACACAAAGCTTGGGACAAATACTTACCGGAATTCCGCTTTGCACTGAATTCAGCGGTGCATGAGTCCACAGGAGTCACCCCTGCAGAGCTAAACCTTTGTCGTCCGTTGAAAGGCTCATTGGATGTTGAGCTAAAGCCCCATCTCTGTGATCCTGATACCTCTGCATACACTACAGCTAAGCAGATAGCCAAGTTTCAGAAAATGGTAAACGGCAACATGGAAAAAGCAAGGCAGAGACAAAAAAGAAACTATGACAAAGGAAGAAGAGATGTGGATTTTTCAGAGAAGGATTGTGTATGGATAAAAGCACTTCCTTACTCAAGGGCTGATAAATCATATACGGCCAAATTGGCACCTAGGTGGAAAGGTCCCTATCGTGTCATCAGGCAAGTCGGACCTTTAAACTTTGAGGTGGTCCTAGCAGAGACTGGAGAGAACATTCATGTTGTTAATGTGGCTCAAATCAAACCATGCTTTCCCACTGCTGAAGAGATGGACAGAAAGCATCATCAGCGTATCCTCGAGATTTTTGAAGAGGATTTTTTGGGTTTAAATTTAAAGTTTGGAACAAAAATATCGGAAGTAAAATAAGGAGGGATAAGGAAAAAGAAAAAGCCTTCCTATGTCAGGCTTCTCTCATGGGGGAAGGAGTGTAACAACCAGAAATGTAAACACCGGTAGTCACTCATGGTAACGCCCACCCAGCCAGTGATTCGCTGTTGGTTGGCACCTCCATTCAATTCTCCCTATATATTTAGACGGAGCAGGAAGGGGAGCGTGTGTGTGCAGCAAGAGAGATCGTCGGAGCAACACGCTCATCCGTTAAGGCCCGGACACACCAGTCCGATTTTGGGAGTCAGAGGCCGTCAGAGGCAGTCGGGCATTCGCGGCGCCCTACTCAGGTTTGTGTGTCCCGCACCGTCGTCTCTTTACGGCACCTTTTCACACCTCCGGACACCTCGCACGGGAGGCGTCGGGAAAGTCATGTACATTTTGCAAGAAGTGGCCATTATTCAGATAGTGTTTCTGTCTACCCCTCTATTCTTTCTCCCATTATCCTCCACAATCTGCCTAGAAGTATTTTAACGTTGTAGCTGTTCAAGATGGTCATTTTAAAATGTGTTAAAAATATACTGTTAGTAGTTAAACCAATAATAATGTGCGGCTGCTACTGGCAGTTATGTAGGCACATTTTTTATTTTTTATTATCACTGTGTGATTAAAAGAATAAACACAAATAGCAGGATAGGCAATACAAAACTTTATTTCTTACCTTGATACTACAGCCATTGATAACACAGCATTAGACATATTTGGCAAACTCTTTTTTTTATTGTATTACACAATATTTTTATCGTATTGTAGTCGATTGTTGACATTGTACAGTTCTTTAGACATATTTGCTATATCTTATCCCACTGAAAAGGCACTGCACCGACATCGTTAAAATATTGGCATAGTTCATCCCTGTGCTGCTTGGCTCGAGCTGGATTATTGGTGGTGTGTGGCAGGGTGGCCTGCCGTAGTTCAGGGTCTTGTCTCCATCTTCCTGGGACAGTGCCATGATCAGGTCCTTCCTGGTCAACAACTCCCGCCATGTATGCGCTACAGTTCTCTGTGCATTTTCTACCACCCTCTGAGCCCGCGACAGCCTGTAGTTGAAGATGCGTTGCTCTACAGCTAGCCTGCGGTTCGGATAGGGCTTCATCAGGTGCTCCTTCAGGGGAAATGCCTCATCCGCCACAATGGAGTAACAAACCGCCTGGCCAGATGCTGTGTTTGTTTGTTTATATCACTCAGTCTGTTATTCTTCTCTTGGTGTATAAAAGGCAGTCTGTCTTCCGGTTGTTTTGAATGACGAATACACACTACCGCTGCCTGCTGGTAAGGACAGTTATTGCCACTCGTCGACTGAAGTATTTGTGGTGTGTTCGTAGGCGGGCGGCATAGCGGGCGACGTAGCCGACGCAGCCGACGCAGGCGACGAAGCTGACATAAAAGTCGGGACGCCTTCGGTACGCGTTCTTTGGTCTCAGGTGGGTGTGTAGCGGCCTTTAGAAACCAACAGTAAGGTCGTTTAAAGTCTGTGTTGCCGTTTTGTCTGATCCTCCGTCCACCGTCATCATACTCTTCTGTTGCTTCACGTTCCCGGATTATTGTTTACAAATCTGAAAGGAACCGGTCATCTCCCAACCACCTTGAAAACCAGGACTGGATTTCCAAAACCGACTGGATTAACTAAAATGACTGGCATTCTCCCGTGGTAAATTTACTGTTTTATTTATTTTGAAGAAAACCCCAAGTGGAACGTTTTGGATTTAAAAAAACTGTGGGAAGAAGGATTGTTTAATTATTTGTGGGGTATTCGAAATACACTTGCTGTTTGTGATTATAATTTTGAGTTGTGTCTTTAATTATTTTTCTAATGTCATTCAATGTTGGGTGTTTGCAGTGAGATGTATACACCTTTGTGCAGTACAGACTTACTAAAACCGACTTTGACTATCAACATCTTAAATGTCAGGAGAGAGACCTGACTGGCACCCTAATAAAGTAAGTCAAACTGTCACAATCTAACCACAAACATGTCCAAAATATCATTGACTTTGAGACGAGGAAACTGTAACTCCTAAAATGCTATCCCATTGCGGGGTTTTAGGACTCATTCCTGCACCACTCTATTGGGCATGTTACCATCAGTATATCTGACAAGTGTTTCTTGCTTTGTTCTCTTAGACTGAGTGAGCAGCTCCTAAAGATGGCTCTGACCAATGAGAACACAGCGAGTTCGTCAAAAGACCCGCCTGAAGCAGGAAAGGAGCTGAAGCTGAGTGTTAACCAGCAGGAGACGCAGATAACCGTGAAGAACCTCCTGCAGGTAATGTAGTTAAAAGCATAATTAATCACAGTGTATTTAGATAAAAATCAAGTTGAATTTAGAAAAACTGACAAAGAGACTTCAAAGGAAAATCCCCTGAACACAAGATACAGATATTTCAAAATCAACTGTGTTAAAAACTAAGTAACTATTTACTTTGCCCAGAAAGATTGATGCTTAAAACAGTACAAAGATTCAGCGAACAGGGTTGCCTTTTGCTGAACTACAGCATTTCTTCTGTGTCTGCTGTGGCAGGTTAAGGAAGTGGTTCAGTCATGTCTCCACGACCGTCCAGCTCTGCAGCACAGTCTGCCCACAGACACACCAGGATGTCGTAAGAAAACAAGCGATTTGGGGTGTTCTGAGTCCACATCTCAGAAGTAAAACTTCTCTGGGTGGTGATAATACCAGGAATAAATGTTTTTTTATCAATCGTCTGAGTGCTATATTTCTTTGGAGCAAATCTTAACTCAAAACTCAAACCTATGTTTCCAAACTTAACCTCTTAAGCCCTGAGCCTGTTTTTCAGGTCTCAGGCTCGAAAATGACATTCCCAGAACAAATGACCATATCTTCCCTTCTAAAAGGGTTAAATTAATAATCTTTATTCTCAAAGTAATGATAAACCTGTGAGTTGGATGTAGAAAAGTCAGAATCAATATAGATGTTTTTTATTTTAAAGAAAATTCAGATGTTACATAGTAAAAAACTGTAAATTATAGTGTCCGTCCAAAAATTATTTTTTACTTATAGTGAAAACTACCCTTGGATGATGGGTTAGTAGACTAAAAGCTTTAGGAATCCAAAGTACAACATATAATAAGTACCCTGTATCAAGATTGATGCAAAACAAGTGAAATTTGACCTTTTTAGAGAGATTTAGCCAAAAACTTCTGGGGTCATTTGGGTGGATTTGACCTATCTCTGGCCCCCCTTGCTCGATTTTGATGAATGAAATCTCTTTATAACCGCTAGAGCCAATGGAATCGAGGGAAAGTTATATACACACCAAAACGTTAACAAATAGAGTGGCGAAGTCACGCCCACTTACTTCCGGGTAATGGGACCTTATTTCGGAAAAATTATGCATTGAAGTCAATGGGGAGAGAAAACTTATCTTTCGATCCCGTTTGAATTGTGCCATGAATTACACATATGATGTTTGTCAATCTTAAAAAATCATTACTGTCACACCGGTTTAAGCCCGGGTACACCCTCCACTGGGGTCCCAGGGGCCGATGCTAATGTAGGCTAACGCTACATTAGCATTGGCGATCTTTTTTCTACTTCATGCTTTCTGCACAAATGGTTAACATTGAACATTAAAAATACCAGGCAGTTCAGGGAGAGTCGAAGGCAGGCAGGCAGGCAGCTTTGCATGACTTTCTTCTGGACGTGTTTCATTGTGATGATAGTGAGGGTGAGTCAGTCTGTTTTTTGGCAAGACAGTAGTTGAGTGATTACTGAGAGAAAATTATTCTAAGTGTTTCAAGTGTTGTTACTTTAAAGTGTTGTTACTGACCTTTTTCTCTTTTCTTTTCTTTGCCTCACCTGTAACTCTGCTGAGACCTTGAGGAACATGCACACTGGACTGAACTGCTCTGGCAACCTGATTTCCACTGTACGTATTTGGTTATGGTATATTATTTATATACATCAAAGGCACAATGCACCCCCCAGAGCTGCACCCCACATAGATACACATGTATTGAGTGTGATATTTTGCATAAGTCATGTGAAATCATCTTTACACACTTGAAAACTGTAAGAGCAGCAATTTTTTTTGAAAATTAAATGTTTAATATCCGATAATAAAGTTGATTTGTTTTCTTTATTCTTCTCTCTTCCCAGCTCCATCCATCACCATTCTCTGTTCCTGCAGGTCCTGCAGGTCCTGCTTGCTAATCAATGCTCATATTTTTTACACAATTACAAATAAACTCAATTAATTGTATGACATGAAGTTGTGCTTCATTCTGAGTCTACAACCAATATTTGTGTTTCCAACATTCATTGAAGTTGAAATGGTATTACATGGCAGTCAATATATGAAATAAAAACATTTAAATGTACTTTTTATACATTTATTTTGGGTTGGTGGTGGCCCTGGACTTAGGCACTTAGTTAGTTGCCCCCGTTTTGCTCCAGGGGGACTGTCCCTGAAATGAGTTAAATGTAAGTCGCTCTGGATAAACACATAAATAAATAAGCACATACATAAATAAATTCATTCTGCCTTCAACTGCAAAATGATTGTGGACTGCACCGACATCCATGTAGCTGCCCCCCAGTAAGATGAACCAAGCAACGTTGACATACTCAACATACAGCTGTGCTCTTAAGTTTACATGCATAATCAAGCTCTAGCAGTTATGATACTTCGGTGTTAAATTTAACAGGAGAACTGCAGGAACATTCAGCCAGAGGAAACACTTTCTGAATATTTTCTGTAACAAATAATCATGATGGAACATTAGGGTTATTATAGCGTGTCCATCAGGGGCGGACTGGCCATTGGGAATACCGGGAGCATTCCCGGTGGGCCGGTACCGAAGTGGGCCGGTCGGACAATTCACTAGCACCCGCCCCCCCCCCCCGTTGACAATTAACTAGCGGTACCGAGTTGGGCCGGTCGGCCGGTCAAGTTTCCCGGGCTGATTTTTAGTCCCAGTCCGCTCCTGGTGTCCATACAATTTTTAGAAATACATAAGATGAAGTAAAATGTGCAATCATAGTCGGTGTAGCCACTGAGACACAGCATCTTAGACACAGGAAGAGGCAGGACGTCCTCCACAGCAGGGGTTCCCAACTTTTTTCCCAAGAGCCCCCCCAAATGACTCCTGTTGGAAGTTGCGCGTTGTTTATCACTTAAACTGAACCTGTTAACCAAATAAAGACAACCAAAACACACACAAGCTGAATGTTAAAAGTGCTTCACAAGATAAATAGAAGAGTGCAGACTGTTAAAACTATGGATAGGGGGACTATTTGGCAGGTTTAAATTATTATTAGAAATTCATTATATAATTTTCTCATTGTAGACGAGCAGACAGGGAGCCAGATGACAACACAAGAATATGCAGCTGCCATTTTCCACATGGAAAAGAGAAAGGGCCATGTTTATTTGAGTGGACAAAAAAGAAAGTGAGCTTACCTGTAAATCAGTCCACCGACCACGGCTACAGCAAAGGGCCTGAGTCTGCAGGCACCAACCCCGAACCCTCCTGGGCAGGGGCGGACTGGCCATCGGGACGTTCGGGACGAATCCCGATGGGCCGGTACTGAAGTGGGCCGGTCGGATGACGTGGGCCGCTCGGATAAGTCACTAGCACCCCCCCCGTCGACAATTTCCCCGCGGTATTTACTTGCGGTACCGAGGTGGGCCGGTCGAGAGTCCCGGGCTGATTTGTAGTCCCAGTCCGCCCCTGCTCCTGGGTGCAGTCCACAGACGACGACGACGAACCTGGACCCTCCGGTTTGCAGTCCAGTCGCTACGAAGACCAGGCAGGGGATGATCGTAAGAGGTCATATGGAATGGCAAAATATTCAGCAGCAGGCTTACCTGATGATGTCATCCGAATGGAAACAGGGCTTCCTGATATGGCAATGTTTAAAAGGGTGGTGGGGTTGGTGGAGCGCTTTGAGGGCTCCATTGTCTATTTTGCTGGATGGAAAGTGGAGGGCATAGACCAGGTCTTCATGGCCTTAATGAAGATTCGCCAAAATTACCCACACCTGCATATTGCACAGCTGTTCCACTGCAGTACTGCAACAGTGAGTAATGTGGTGAACACCATGGTCCATCTGCTCCACAAGTTGCTGTTCCAAGCGATGATGTCTACTGTGCCCAGTCGTAAAAAAAAACAGAACAGCATGCCTGCTTCTTTCCACTCCTCTGCCTTCAACTGCAGAATGATTGTGGACTGCACCGACATCCACGTGGCCGCCCCAAGTCAGATGGACCAAGCGAAGCTAACATACTCCACTTACAGAGGGATGCACTCCTTTAAAGTGCTCATCTCTGTTGCCCCAAATGGAGTCATACATTTTTGCAGCACACTCTTCCCAGGCTCTGTGTCAGATAAGTCCATTGTGCAGCAGTCTGGCATTCTGACTCATCTTGTGGCTGGCGACCTTATTTTGGCAGATAAGGGATTTTTGATTTCAGACATTGTGCCTGAGGGTGTAATTGTCAACATTCCCCCTTTCCTAAACAAGGGCAAGTTCACAGAGAGTGAGGTGAGAGCAACCAGGGAGATCGCAAAGAACCGCATTCATGTGGAGAGGGCAAATGGCAGGATAAAGGATTTCAGGATTCTGGGCCTGATTCCTTCCCACCTCAGGAACTCTGCCAATGTGCTGGTACAGCTGTGTTGTGCCTTGGTGAACCTGCAAAATCCCCTCATCAATGAAGTTGCCAGCACCCTCACTGTTGACTAAGCCAGGGGTTCCCAAACCTTTCAGCCTGTGATCCCCGGGGGGAGGGGGAGACTAATGTGACTAATCGGTTAATTTAAATGTTTATTTACCCGTTTTGGTAGGTTTTGGGAGTGAGATGTTTATGTTTTGTCTGTTAATGTGGTTGTTTTTATTGGTCAGAATGTCCCATGTTAACATGGACAAATAAATCACCACTCAGCGTCTCCACCACAATCCCAATCTGCTGTGTCCTGTTTTCCTCCACTCTGCATAACATCCCATCCAGCCACAATAGAGTGTGTGTGTGTGTGTGGGGCACAAGCCAGCGTCCAGCCACAATAGAGTGTGGTGTGTGTGTGTGTGGGGCACAAGCCAGCGTCCAGCCACAATAGCGTGTGTGTGTGTGTGTGTGTGTGTGTGGGGCACAAGCCAGCGTCCAGCCACAATAGAGTGTGGTGTGTGTGTGTGTGTGGGGCACAAGCCAGCGTCCAGCCACAATAGAGTGTGGTGTGTGTGTGTGGGGCACAAGCCAGCGTCCAGCCACAATAGAGTGTGGTGTGTGTGTGTGTGTGTGGGGCACAAGCCAGCGTCCAGCCACAATAGCGTGTGTGTGTGTGTGTGTGGGGCACAAGCCAGCGTCCAGCCACAATAGCGTGTGTGTGTGTGTGTGTGGGGCACAAGCCAGCGTCCAGCCACAATAGAGTGTGGTGTGTGTGTGTGTGGGGCACAAGCCAGCGTCCAGCCAAAATAGAGTGTGTGTGTGTGTGTGTGTGGGGCACAAGCCAGCGTCCAGCCACAATAGAGTGTGTGTGTGTGTTTATTTACATGTCCTCCTCCCTACTGGCCAACACAGGGAGCATATGCTGGGTGTAGAAGTTCTCCAGGAGGAGGAGATTTCCATGCCATGCAGGGTCTTTGGGGATGGGGATGACGATCGCCTCCTTCGTGGTCCACACAACAAAGTAGCAGAGACTCCGGTCTGTGATGTGCAGCTGTCCTTGGACCTGGTGCCAGTATGGGTGATTCTCCTTGAGAACATAAGACCCACCCTCCTCACGGAGATAGAAGGATGGTGACTGGACTGCCTCCGCGATGGTCTTGTTCCTCTGGC